AACGCATCTGCATTTCGACTTGTAATCGAGGATAGATGTAGATGTCTATGGGCCGCAGCAACCACTTACCATCAGGTGGACTGTGTGCTAGTTTGTCACCCTATCCTATAAAAATATATAAAGGCATTTAATGTAATACATTTAAACTATTTTTTTCTTATTCTAAGCGCTATCCCGGCTAATGCTGCGTCCGCATTCCTGCTCATTCCTCATAAGTCTCCGCTTAGCCCGATCTTTATCGTCCTCGGTAGTAAGTTCATTGATTTTCATATCCAAGCAAAGGGCATCGATCCAGCACTTTTTCATATGGTCTATCGAGGCCAATGTGAAAAAGATCTTTTTGACCTGAATTGTTATATACAAAATGTTACCTGACGTTTTTGTGAAGCAAGGAATTCTCATCAATTTTCATGAAAATTTAACGAAAATTTTGCTTTACAAAATCACTCCGCGTCTTTAAATAAAATAACTTACTTATTTTCAAGTCGTGTCTAGAATACGAGTAAATCCATTATAGCCTCATTGGAAATTGGTAAAATACCTAGGTTTTTAAATTGTATTGAGTTCTTGTATTGCCAGCCGACCAGTCCAACTTTACGTAATATTGAAAATATTTAATGAACATTAGGTACAGCGGCTCAGTAAGAAAGAAACTATTTATTTGATACACACATTTTACACAGATTTTAAGAAGTAGACAAAATCAAGAGGCGAAAATATGCGTGCATCGGTCTGAAACTACTAACGCATTAACATCTAAGAACGTATACACGCACATCAATAATTAATAGAAAAAAAAACATAATTAATATCTGACATCAAATCGGATTCCAACTCAGCACAATGCTGCAAAGGCAACGCTGGTTTTCAGTTGGAGCCTTGACTTAGCTAGAGCTCTTGACTTCACTAACAAGTGGGTGAGTGTTAACATACTGTAGTGGTAAGTAAAAGCTAATAGCTTAGCGTTCGGAGGCACGCTACGGAACCAAACGGAATCGGTTGAAATCCCGCACAAATTAAGTGTTTTTATGGTCTTCAAATAATTGTTCCGGGTTCGGACGTTGTCCACATGCAATTATTAATGTGTGTAAAGACAAGATGTGCTAGGTATATCTTTATTTTGGAGAAATGAGTAAAGTTATAGTACGCTACTAAAGAAAGAAGGCCACAGACACCTTTGTCAACTCTAAGAACTGAGGTTGCTTCATAGTGTGAAAATAGGCTTAGGTCACTAACCGAAACACAGTAGTAGATAGCCACGTAGTAGCTACTCTGATCCATACCAACTGCTAGGCTGAATACGGGCACTGAAGTAAGAGAGTCCAAATACGAATTTCATAGGTCAGCTTTTACTTCTAACAGGTTTTTTGTTGCCAAAAACACGCTGCCACGCTGCCAAAAGACAATCAAACTTCAAATTCGGGTATCAAGGAATACAAAATAAGAGTATACTTCTTAAAGCACTTTGGACTTAAACAACAGTTTTATTATGACGCATCCTTTCAAGGTCCTATAACATCTACAATATTTAAAAAAAACCGTGCTTATCGAACATATTCTATTTATAATCAAAAAGTATTTAATTAACGACGTCCAGAAGAGCCCGCTGGTTCATAGGTGACGGAGCTTTTTTCACAAAAACTTTTTTTCGTTAGAAATCCACACCATCTGGATGCTTGGCGGTCCACCACTGTACGTTTCAAAAGGAGTTTTCTTCCGCGTACAACCTCTCTGTGGAATAGTTTACTACCGGCGATTTTTCCGGACCGATACGACCTGGGGACCTTCAAGAAAAGAGCTTACTCCTTTCTAAAGGGCCGGCAATGCACCTGCATTTCCCCTGGTATTGCGGTTGATCATGGGCGGCGGTGACTACTTAACATCAGGTGAGCCGCATGCTTGTTTGCCTCCTCATCTATAAAAAAATTGAGATTGTATTTAAGCACAGCACCATTAAAAGAACAAATAACGCTCCAACGCACCGCGGCCGAATAAACAACTAGAAGCCGGCTCCATTACCAGCGCGGAATGAAAGTATTCGACATATTCATTGCAAAATACGTTCTGTTTATTTACGCGAGCGCCCGCAGAGCTCGTAAATTGTTGTTATGATAAAGACTAAGCAAAGCGCCCGCGCCACGACGGCCCGGGGCCGATGTCGACCGCAGTGCCGCTGCAAAATATTGCCTGTAACGAGATTATGACACATCGACCATATCTCCGACATAACTTATTTTATATAAACAGTGTAACAAATTAATTGCACTATGAATCGTAAGCGTCCGAGGTTACATTCGTGACCGCGAGGTGATGGTTAATGCTGCGAATGGAGCAACACAGCGATAAGGTATTGTTATACGTGGTAGAGCCATAGTGCAGCTATATTGCGGCTGCAGCGTGAAAGGGTCAGCTCGAAAAGGGCGTAAAAAAAAACAGCCTAATATTGCTGTTTCGTTTTGTGAGTGTAGAGAACCGGAGACCCTTTTTAGTAATAACGAGGCGTTCCATCTACTCCTCAGGGGTGAGAACGCATCCGCATTTTGATATTTGATCGAGGATAGATGTATATGTGCCGTAGCAACTGCTTACTATCAAGTGGACTGTGTGCTCGTTTCTCACTCTTATTCTATTTTAAAAAATGTGTAACTCATATGAACAAAGCCGGTCTTACAGCTTGGTTGAATTTAACCGACACTCTAAATAAATTGAGCCAAACTAGTTTTATAATCCAAACAAATGCATTCACACACATCTGCATGTTTGTTCTTTACCGTGGGTAGATGTAGATGTCTGTTGGCCCAGTACACACTCACCATCAGGTGGACTGTGCGTTATTTTTTCACCATATTCGGTAAAAATCAGGGAAATATAAATCAGCGTGGGACGAGCTCGCTGGTCGTGAGACGAGCAAGTGTCAATGCGTTAGCGGGCACGGGCGTGAGATCAAGCCGTTATCTCTGGCAGGGGTGGCAGACGGCTCGTTTCGGATCATTCGCCGTCTGCCCCGCGCCGTGACATTGAGTAATTCGATGTCAGTGTGGAAGCATCGGACGGGGCGACGCAACGTGGAGCTGCGGGGACGGGCGAGGTCGACGCTCGCCCGCCCTCGCTCGCGAAGATCTACGGCCACTGGAAGCGAGAATAAAACTTTTTACAATCAAATTTGAAGAGTTAAGCAAGACTATTAAAAATTAACGCGTGGACCAAAAATACGATGACAGAAATAGTATAAATATTTTTAACGTCCCGCTAAGAAAATTGGAAATTTTCAAAAATAGGTAAGTTATTGGTTTCACCCCGATTTTCTAAAATCGAGTTTTTATCAAATCTCAACGTTTCCAGGAAGCTATTCTGACTAATTTCACGTGGACGTCCGTAAGAATGTATGTATGTATGTGTGCACGTGTGTGTGTGTGTGTGTGTGTGTGTGTGTGTTTTTTTTTTTGTGTGTATGTAAGTATGTAAACCTTTCATAACTTTTGAACGTCTTGATCGATTGAGATGCGGATAGATTTGGTGATAATATGAACTAATTCGAACGAGAAATTTTGAGAAATCTCAAAAATAAACATTTTGAAAAACTGTACCGGAATAACTTTAAAACGGCTTTACCGATCGATTTCAAAAAAAAATTCAACTAATCAGCTCTTAACCTCAAAAAATGACGTCGAATGCCGTTTGGAAAATAAAAATCGGTTCATTCGTTTGTGAGATATTGAAGGAGAAAGAATTTAAAAAAATGTTTTTTTTTAACATAACTTCGAGATTTCGCAATGTAATTTGGTGAAGTTTGGAGGTCAACCAATTTTTTAAATAAAATAAGGGAGACAAATAAGCACAAACTCCGCCTGATGTTTCATCTATATATTTATATAATTTTTGATAGTAAGTGGATGCTATGGCACATAGACATATTTATTTATCATTGATTGAAAATCATAATGATGCTTTGACACCCCTGAGTACTAAGATGGAATGCCTTGTTTCCAGTAAAAAGGGTCTCCGATTCTCTACGCTCACCATACGAAACACAGCAGCATTGAGGTGCTATGTCACGCTGGAATTCTGTTAGAGAGTGGTCTTACTCCGGCCGATCTGGCCCATATGTGATACAACTATAATAAAGCTGCAGACTGACTATACCATGTATAATATACAAAAACAACATACTTTGAGGAGCCATAAATGGCCAGTCATCTTTTTCGCAACATAAGAAACCATTCGTCTTAAATAAATACGCACTTTCGACAAGATAAAAAGCAAGACGATAATGAATATAATTTACTCATCTTCTTAAGGATGATAGGGGAAAGTGTATGTGTTTTTGCGGCAGTTTGGTAAAGGTTAACGGGTAAGGCTGTGCGGCCGAGCCGCGCGCAAGTGACGGATGAGGCAATGAAGTTGCAACACTAGCCGACGGAGCGGTGCTCACTCGATTATTACAGCGCTAAAAAGATTGATCTGTACATCGAGCACAGTATTTTCGCCTTTACTTTTTAATATATATATATAACCAAATGAAGTCATTTGTATACACTGGTAGATGTTGAAAATGTATATCATATTATTTATACAGCATTTTATTCTTATGTTGTTAAGAATATTTAAGATTGCGGCGCTGCTGGAGTAGCAGTAGCAGCGGCTTCTTCTCGAATACGATCCTTCTCAAGTGTACCCACAGATGCAGCCTCATCAGCTCGGGTCTGGAAGCGACCTTGTCCGAATTTAGATGATGTCAATAAACTTGAGGTTGATCTTCTCCAGAGCAGCTCTCTTTGTGTGCACTCGTAGGGATTTTCTCAAAGTTATAACTCGTTTCTTGGGACCGATACAGCAACCTTTGATCATTACAAAGTCATTATTGACCTCTCTATAGTGAGGGAACCCACCCATTGGTGTGATGGACTTCTCAGACAAGTCATATTCGGTAGATGCATTGTTTTTAATAACTTTTCCTTCCTTAGTGTGGATTCCTTGTCCAATACGGTAAATCTTTTTGTTCATTTCAGTTCGGTGATGGCCTTCTGACCAGCCCTAGTAACAGTGAATGAAACTCTTAAAGGATGCCAAGCTCCAATACACGCTACTTTACGTAGACCTTTATGTGTCTTGTGAGGAAGCTTTTTGGTATGCCAACGGGAAGTCACACCTTTGTAACCTTTCCCCTTTATCACACCAATGCAGTCAATCATCTTATCTTGGGCAAAGACCGAATCAATAGGGATAGGTTTCTCCAGATGTTCTCTTGCCCACTTGACTTTATCTTCAACAGTTCCACCATTGACTTGGATCTCCATAATATGAGCCTTCTTCTGACGTTGCTTCAATAGCTTCATTTGAGTGTGAGCAATAACCCTGATCACACTACAGTAGCGAATCATTTTCTTGAAATCCTTCTCAATTGATTTCCGCCCAAGCTCATCTTGCCATTTCTTGCTAGCCTTGGTGAAGGAATTCTTCTTGCACTTGTACCAGTTCTTGTAGAAGCGACGTCTACAGTCTTCGGACATGTGTTCTGCCCAGACTGTCAACAGTGCACGAAGACCATGTAGAGTATCAATGTAGCCAACAACACCAACACCATTATATATACCATTGGAGGTATCTCAATGATGGTAACAGCCTCAACAATTTCCTTCTTATTAATCTTTGATCCAGGGCGGTCAGGTTCACGAACCACGTGAGTCATACCAGCCTTGTATCCAATAAACGCCGTGAGGTGTACAGGTTTACTGGAATCATCTTTAGGGAACGCCTTAACTTTACCACGGTGACGACGGGACCTTTTCTTGGGATAGAATCCCATAGAACCATGGCGAGGTGCCGAAAATTTTCTATGCGACATGTCGGTTCACAGTCGCAACAAAAATGGTCCTAATAAAAAAATAAACAAGCACGGGCACATAATAAAAAAGCACGGGTTTCTGATGTCGACAACAGCGCCACCTACCGAACCCAATTGTAAAACTAAGCCATTTAGGGATGCACTCAAATACACATAAAAAATCATCAAAATCGTTCCATCCGTTCTTAAATGATAATCTTCAACACCTGCGGGAATTGATTTTTATTTATATAGATTATATCGTCATAGTTTTTATTCAAATAAGGCCGGCCATACATACATTCTGTATTCCGTTTCTAAAAGCCGTTTCGAGATATCGTTTCGAGATCCCGTAAATACACCACACATATATGTTTATTTACTTTCGGAGTAACAAAGCATAGTTAAAAGACCTTAGGAATTTAGTCCAGACATTCTGCCAGCGAATATGAACAATGACTTTCGGATTGCGATAACATATCATTATCATCACTATTACAGCTCCTCACAAGTCCACTACTGAAAGAGCTACCCCCAGGAATAATGCCCACAAAGCACAGTTCTGCGCCACGTGCATCCATCGACTTCCTGCATGTCTTACCAGGTCGTCACTCCATCTAGTGGTGGGACGCCCTACACTTCGCCTGCTGGTACAAGATTGCCACTCGAGAACCTTTTTCCCCATCGGTTATCGGTCCTTCGAGCTATATAGCCAGCCCATTGCCACTTCAGCTTACTAATCTGTTGGGCAATGTCGATCACTCTGGTTCTACTGCGGATATGCTTATTTATAAGTTTATCTCACAGAGAAACTCCGAGGATAGCCATCTCCATAGCTCACTCAGCGTCTTTGAGTTTTCTCATACGGCCAGCAGTGAAGAACCACGTCTCAGATCCATAAGTCATCACTGGCAACACATACTAGTTGTACAATCTAGTTTTGAGGTTTTAGGTATGCCTGATGAGAAGATGTAACGTAATCTCCCGAATGCTACCCAGTCGAGTTGAATCCATCTATAGACCTTTCAGTCGAAGTTGGACTTGCCTACTCGGACTACTTCTCCCAGATAAACATACTCATCAACAACTTTGAACTTAGTGCTCCCAACAACCACCGGCATAGGTGTGATATGGACATTACACATGGCTATTGTTTTGTCCATGTTCATCTTAAGACCTATCCGTTGGGATAGGTCTTAAGATTGAGATATATAGATAGTCATTGATGCTCAATGATCTCCTATTGAGATCATTGAGCATAGTGCTTAGGTTCTCTAGCGATTCTGCCATCAGGATTATATCGTTCGCAAATCAAAAAAAAGGTGAGTGATGTATTCGCCATTGACGTTAATACCGTATTCTTTCCAATCCAGTAGCTTGAAAACGTCTTCTAATGCAGTGATGAAGGGTTTCGGGGATATTACGTCACCCTGTCTTACACCTCTCTAAATTTGGATAGGTTTCGTACTCTGGTTCTGTACTCGGATATCCATCCTAGCCCTACTGTACAAACACTGCAAAACTTCGATATACCGACAGCCAACTTAACACCGTTGAAGGGACTGCACACTGCTCGAATTTCGACGGAATCAAAGACTTTCTCATAGTCCACATACGCAAGACAAAGTGGCAGAATTTACTTTTCGGACTTCTATACAATTTACCGAAGGGTATGTATGAAGTCTATGGTACTAAAGCCTTTTCGGAAACTGGCTTGTTCGGGAGGCTGGAATTCGTGCTAGTCTAGTCTGCGTGCGAGACGATTCATAATGACTCTCAAAAACAGCACGTAGACGAAACAATCTGTCTGCAGTTCTTCAAGAGAGCGTTGTCGCCTTTCTTGAAAAACAAGACCATCGCTCTTCTGCTTCACGCTTCCGGGATAGTGCCACCATAGAGGACGGAATTGAAGAGCTTCTGAAAACTTTTAGTATCGGTTTTCCACCCGCTTTCAGAAGCTCCGCTGTAATTCCATCCTCGCCTGGGGACTTTCCGTATTTAAGGTGCTGAAGAGCCATTCTAATTTCTCTCAGACTGACGGCCGGGATATCACCAGAATAGTGTCGGATAAGAGTTGCTCTTGCATCATTATTCACACTTGTGTGTGGCTCCAACCATGATGTGTACAGCTGTCCATAGAACCTCTCAATCTCGCTCAAAATCTCAGGTGTCCCGGAAACGATGCTGCCACATTCGGTCTTCATCTTTGACAGTTGGCTCTTTCTGGCAGACAGATCTCTGGCAAAGACTTTGGAGACCGAGTTCAGCTCAATCACTTCTTAAATACGTCCCGCCGCATGTATTTTGAGATTTGTCTATTCAGTAGCCTGTATGCTGTCAAATCTGCTGAAGACTCCAGCTTCATTTTCCGTCTAAGAGCCATGAGATTAAGAGTGTTATCGGAGAGTTTTTGTGTTCTTCTGCGACGGGTCTTACAGAACTTAGTTCCGACCGCCTGGAAAGTTCACACAAGCTTGTGGCGTTTATGGCGTCCACTTCGTTGCAGTTTTCTAGGCACTTAAAACGATTTTGTAACTCGAGCTGAAAGTTTTCGTGGATTTTTATTAGAGCACGATTGAATAGTTGCTGTATTATTGTTACTGGATGCATCCCCTTAATATTTCAAGATAGTCAATATTATGTAAAAGGAGCCAAATTACGAGCCTATCTATAGAATTTTTTAAATACTCTTGAATGTCTATAAACTCTTGCGAAGAATTATTAAACAAAATAAGAGGAAAGGTTACAAAAAGAGATAAACATGTAATATTACATATACAAATGCACATAAACACACATACTAGCTTTGGTCGTGCGACGCACACTGGTCGCGTTCAGGCAATTATACTGATGATGACTGGAATCGAAGAAAATTTCGAACGGAAAACTACTGTACGTGTGTGATAGGTCTTTAATTTAAATGGATTTGCTGCGTTCGAAATCCCGAAGTGCCGAAACAGAATTCTGACTGTACAGATTGTACACTGTGTTACACCTGGTGATAAGTAGACGTAGAATCCTACAAATACAAATATTTTTCATTAAGAATAGAAACGCAAATAAACTGATTGGAATGCCTCTTTACCAATAACAGTACCAAAAGCGCCATAAAAACAGCAGTATTATGCTGCTATGTCACGCTAATACCTTTTAAGAGCGTGGTCTTTTCCCAGTCGAGCTCATCCATTCGTACTGCAGTATATATTTATATTATGCTTTATTGCTTAAACCTTAAATATAAGAGTTACAAAGGGTAGACTTAACGCCTTTTGGTATTCTCTTCCAGTAGCTCCAGCGTTGTTCATGAAGTAGGTACATCTAGATACTTATATTCTCTTCAATATTTATGAACACTTAATGTAACGATGTCACTAATTTGCCTTCCCCTACAAGCATCATAAAGTTAATCAACGTTGTAGTTTTATTTGGTGAATATTTTATGGCTGTGCTCGGCGCAGCGAGAAGCAATCATTATGCAGTTAAGTATTTTAATCACTTTAAAATTAATTTTCTCTCTCAAAGGGGATTGAAGCTTAAAGTTTGCCGTTGTTTCCTGTAATCGGTTTATATATTTCTACGTGGTAGAGCCACGAGATCGGAGCAGAACCACGCTCTCACAGAATACCAGCGTAAAATAGCAGCGTAATGCTGCTGTGCTTCGTATGGTGAGTGTAGAGAACCGGAGATCCTTTTACTGGAATCGAGGCATTCCATCTTAGTCCTCAGAGGTTTGCATTTTGATTCTTAATTGAAGATAAATGTGGATGTCTATGGGCCACAGCATCCACTTACCATCAAGTGGACTGTGTGCTCGTTTGTCACCCAATGTTATAAAAAATGTAAGACGAAAGTGATGGTTTCGTCTTACTTTTTTGTAACATTGTGTAATGTAATGTGTAATGTATAAGCAATAAGGCAAAAGTCCGAGTGCATTGTCAGACACATAGAAATACAAAACTGATTCCCCTTGATATTATCCCCACCCCAGGGCTAAGCGCTAATGATTACTTTGAAATTTTTACTACAAACAAAATTATTATAAAGTTAGATGTTAGATGTTTAAAAAAAGTACCGCTGGGGTTCTTGCTGGTTCTTCCCATGACAGAGGTATTTTTCGAACCAATGGTAAATAAAAAAATGACTTTTAATAAGTATTAGGTCATAATCTATATTGCATAAAAATCTTTCTATTATTTCTATTAATATTCAGAGCCATAGTACGAGTAGGTCAGCGTTCGCCGTAAATTTCACGCAAAAGTACGCAAGAAACTTGAGTCGCTTCCCGCTGCTCCAACATCATAGAGTCATCACATTATGTGTATATATGCCTCTGCGATTTTGTTTCTAAATATAAATAATCAGTTTTGTGACCTATAGTTAATAGGCTTCGATATGAATGAGATTATAGTTAATAACATTTGATAGCTTTTATATATTTTTAATATATAATTCTTTTAAGTTCAAAAAATATGAAAAAAAAATATGTTTATGTTAGGCGGAGAAGGAAACCTACATATCGCGCTGGAACCGCCTGCACGTATTGCTGAAGCAAATCCGCACAGTTATTACTCCACAACCAAATACTCAAATATGTGAGGAGGCCCGTATCCAGGCTTTTGTTCTTCTATACACTTTGTCTTCACGCCGACTATGGGAGCTGTTATGCGAAAATCACTTTATTCTTTACTTGTGTATGCTTGCGTGCGTGCGTGCGTGTGTGCGCACGCACGTGTGTGTGTATGTATGTATGTATGTTAACATGTTAACATCTCATAACTTTGTAAAGGAGTGTCCGATTGAAAAGCAATTTTTCAACATGTGAAAGAGCCTTGAAAATAAACTTAGATTTTCTGTGTATCGTCACGGTTGATTCTCAAAAATTTGAGTATTTTTAATTTTCAAAAAGTAGTTTTCTTGGAACTACTTCAACACCCTTTTTTTGATCAATTCTTTAATCTAATCAACTCTTCTACTTAAGAAAAAACGACGTCGAATACCGAACCGCATCAAAATCGGTTAAT